CTGTGAACATAGAGAGGGTTTCAATGCTTCATGGGCCGATCAGTGTGGGCACTGAGCTACAGGCTCCGTGAAGCCTCTTCTAGAGCTGTAACTTTAACAGTCACTATTCAGTCACATGCAGACCCTTTGACTTTGACATTAGCACTAAATAAGACTTCAAGAAATGCTTTCTGGTGAACTTTTTTTTTTTTTTAAATAGTATAATAGTTTATTTTTTCCTCATTTTGTGCCTTTGTCCATCTCAGTTGTAATCCCCATGGTCTTCCCATCACTAAATCACCCATGTGCCATCATTTTGGGTGCACTTTTAAGTAAACTTTCAGAGACATGCTTACTAGCTGCATGAAATTGAAATGTGATTGTTGACTGTATTTTCTCTTATGTGGAAATTCTTTTCCCCCCCTCTCAGATTGAAGGTGCCTTTATTCAAGGCATGGGACTTTACACAATGGAGGAGCTGAATTATTCTCCTCAGGGTGTCCTGTATACTCGTGGTCCAAACCAGTATAAAATCCCTGCAATCTGCGACATCCCCACAGAGTTGCATATTTCTTTGTTGCCTCCATCTGAAAACTCAAATACCCTGTACTCATCTAAGGTAAGCCGTTTTCTGTGACTGAAAGCATGTCTATGTGATATCTGAGTTGGGGGGGGGGGCGGCATTCTTCTCTTGACTACTTGGGGGTTCTGTTAAACATTTTCATTATGGGGAAATTTAATATAATTAGCATTTTCAAGAAATACAGTCCAAATGTGGAGCCTGTCTACTGTTGCTGTTAGTTTCTATTTGATTTCATCTGGTCATAGTCATCTTCAGACCTCTGCTATCTCTGCTTTCTTCACAGGGATCCTTTCCTTGAAAGGGTATAATCATTAAGAATAGATATACCAAATATTTACTTATTTAAATGAAAAAGTACATATTTAATCTTCAACAGGTGCACATTTGCAGGTACCTGTATGTGAGGGAAGAATCATCAGTCTGCTTAATCTGTTTCCCTTCCAGGGTCTGGGAGAGTCTGGCGTCTTCCTGGGATGTTCGGTGTTTTTTGCCATCCATGACGCCGTAAACGCGGCACGTCGGGAAAGAGGCCTAACTGGGCCCCTGAAGCTCAATAGTCCGCTCACCCCAGAGAAGATTAGAATGGCCTGTGAGGACAAGTTCACAAAAATGGTATGTTCTGAGGATAAAACTCTCAATTCCCATCCACTGTTCCTGAAATGAAGTTTCATTAACCCACCACGGGGGTTTTCCATGATGGAAAAGTGATGGGAACTTGAGGTCATTGAGCAGAAGAGCAAGTCATCCTGGTCCTGCCTGCCTTCCCTGTACCACCCATCAGTTATATCTCACCCTCGTTTCATCCCCTACCTAGCATGCTTTATTCTGGAATAGAAATGAGGAAGTATGTCCTGAACCTAAGATACCCAGGCCAAGAAAACCCAGGCAGTGTATCTCCCTGCACCCCAGTCAGGCCTCAGACAGGGTGTGCAAGTGCTGGTTTGAACCACAGAGTGGGAAGGGCCCTTCTAGCCCAAACCTATTCAATAACAAGACTTTTTCCCTGTGACACGGCCACTGAGTGAACATCTCAGCTTTCCTAGGTCATTTTCAGTGATGGGGTTTTTAATTGTAAGAGGAACTTCAGTGACTCCGCTAACTATAAGTAAATCATTCCTATGTCCAGGGGAGGGTTGCCTCCTGTATCTCCTCTCCCGCCATCTCAGTGCCTAAACCCCACAAGGCACTTCACACAGACTGACTCCACTTTCTCTTGCCCTTCTCGAGTTTGAGGTGGTGACTCAGAGCCTTTGCCCTCCCCCGACTTGCTCCCCATTTCTCATGCTGAAACTCCAGGGCCGTCCCGTGCTGGGTATCCTCTGAGTGGTTTTACCTTGTTTTATATTTTGCTCCTTTTTTCACCTGCAATGATGTTACAAATAACCAAATTTATATTTTTATTCTAGATTCCAAGAGATGAACCTGGATCCTGTGTTCCTTGGAATGTACCCATATGAATCAAATATGAACTTTTGGAGAAAACGGGGTGATTCTTCCAACACAGAAATGTGTCCAATTTCTATATTCAAAGCTGCTAGGACTGAAAGACAGATTTTCACAGCTCAGAAATCATTTCACAAAGTATTGCTTCTGTGTATGACACTGATTTTAAATGTTCCATTTAGTTTTTCATAGATGCACATAAGAAATTTATAAATCATATTTTAATGGTATAAATATGATCTGGTTTCCTCTAGATTGATATTCTCCATTATTCTATCCCTTATATTCTATTCAGCTGAATGGAATAGAAAATGATGATTTGTATGTGATTCATACATAGCTGCCAACAGAAATTATACTATCTAGTGAAAGGCAATTTTCTAAATAATTTTGTTAGTAGTATAAACTGTAAAGTTATCATTTTCTCATTTGTCTCTAACTGCTATCACCCTTCTTCTCTTGTCAGAGTGGATCCAGGCATGTATCTAAAGAATCTGTAGGACCAAAGTAAAAAATTAATAAAGTAGACTTTATCAAAACTAAAAGCACTTGTGATTCAACATTGTGATTCAACGATAAGGAAATAAAAAGGCTAAACACAGAATGGGAGAAAATATCTGCAAAGCATGTGTCTGATAAAGATTAAGCATGTAGAATGTATAAAACTCTCCTACAACTCAACAATAAAAAGATAAATAACCCAGTTTTAGAATGAATGAATAGAATAGACGTTTTCCCAAAGAAGCTACACAAATGGTCAATAGCACATGAAAAGATACACAGAATCATTAGTCATTAAGGAAATGCAAATCAAAATCACCAAGAGAGCCATTTCATACACACACTGGTGGATACAATCAGAATGATGAATAGTGAGTGTTAGCAAAAAGGTAGAGAAATTGGAATCCTTATCCATCACTGGCAACCATGAAAATGGTGCAATCCTGCTGGGAAATGTTTGGCAGGTCCTCAAAAAGTTCAGCATGGCATTACCTTACAGCCATGCCTAGGTTCTCCCTAGACAACTGAAAATATGTCCCATGCAAAAACTTACACACAAATGTTCACAGCATTATTCATAATGGTCAAGAGTAGAAACAACACAAGAGCCTAACTGATAACAAAATACTGTAAACATAATGTGGTTTATCTGCACCAGGGAATGTCACTCAGCCATCCAAGGAAGACAGACTGATACCTTGGCACTACATGCCAAGACGCGAAGACATTATGCCATGGAAGGTAGTCAGACACAAAGGCCACACATTGCATGATGCCATCTGTGTGGCGGTCCAGAGCACCCCAACTCTAGGGACAGGAGGTTAGTGAACAGTTGCCAAGGACTGAGGGGTTGGGGGGGTGGGGAGGCGACATGCAGTGGATATGGAGTTTCTTTGGGGATGATGAAAATATCCTGGAATTAGATAATGGTGATGGTTGTACAGCCTATGAATAGAGTAAACAGTATTCCAGTGATGGGTAAGGAAGTGAGCAAGGAATTGTACACTAAGAGAGTGAATTTTATGGTATGTCAGTCCTGCCTCAGAAAACTGTCTGAAGTTTGCCTCTTGATGGAGGAAGTAATACAAAGGAGGCATCACAAGGTTGACTCACACAAGGAGTTGGGGATGGAGGAGGTTAGCACAGCCATTGACCCAGCTATAGAAACCAAGATCCTTAGGCCCAAGGCCTAGATTACAAAGTATAAGATCCAAGCAGGTAGCAGACTGCTGTAGGCTGTGCCTATCACAACCCAAAAGGTGAAAGATAAAGATATGGAGATGGAGCCCATTGTGGGTTCTCTTATCCCTTTCAGATTCTATTCAAAATCAACAAGGAGCAACCCCTCCCAGAGAGAAAAGGCCTGTGTCAGGGCAGTCTCTGCACTGGCTCGTGGCCGCAGTCCTCTGCCCACCTGTGACTATGCAGGTGCTTCTTCCCATCCACTGTCTTGCAACAGGGCAGCAGCCTCCAACCTGCCCATGATCTGTACGAGCCAGGGCTTCTCTGCACTGATCTCCCTTAGCAGAGGCCACTCTCCCTAAGGCCGCCTGCCTGCAACCATGCAGGCCTCTCAGCAAACCCGTCCCTTTCAAGGCAGCTCTTCTGGTACGCTTGTGCCTATGCCAGAGTCCTGTACTACTCTGTCCTTTTCCCTAACAAACCTGCTCTTTAAATATAACTGAGTCTCTGTCTCTTGGAGAAACTGGGCTGGGGGGTTCGCCACATGCCGCTGAAAGGGGAGCTCTGGGGAAACCTTTCCCAGAGTGAGCCCAAGGACCCCAGACTCCAAATGCAGTAACTCTAACAAAATGACATCACCTCTCGCTCTAACTCACCGTGGCTGAGCTGCCCTTCCTTCCCTTCCGCCCATCCCAGCGGTTGCAATGGTCCCTTTTAGGACGGCCCTGCATTTCCACTTCTCTCCAACCCATTCTCCACATTAAAACCAAAGTGACATAAATTTATGGACACACACAGTGCGATTATTTTACGCCCTAGCCTAAATGGCTTCCTATTCTCTAAAACGTCAAGTGTGTCCTCTGTGCTTTGGCCCTGTTTCTCCAGTATGACCTTCCTCTCTTTTACAGACTGTTTTTCCCTTCTCTGTTGAGGTCTTGGTCTTGGGCCTCTACCTGGAAGACCCTATCACTTCCATCCTTCCTTCAGTCTGTCTGCTGCTGCTGAAATTTTACTATGCACATAATAAATAGCTTGAGGATTTTGTTAAAATGCAATCAAGCAAGCTCAGAACAATAAGGGAAGATGGGAGAGGGGCATCCAGAGGCAAGCACCGGCTGGGAGGGAGGGAACAAGCGGGTTCCAAGAGGGCAGCCCAGCGCTGCCACCTCTCTCCCTTGCTCACGCCTTAGGTCACCTCGTGGACAAGCAGTCCCCAGTGGAGAAGGGAAGCGAGCTCAGTCTGTGGCAGCAGCCAGCTGTCACTGTGCCAGTGCGACAGCCCACTTAGAGTGGGGATGGGGTCAGCCTCCCAAAGAGGTGCCGCTGGGTGTCCACATTGCGTGGAAAAGTGACCTGTGGTCAGAATTCGGTGGACTCACCGGTGAATGGTTTGGGCAGCTGGGCAGGACCTGGAAGGGGAAAGATTAGAAGTCCGGGACAAGACAACAGAAATGAGTCTACAGGAGCAGGCACCATATGTGATTTTCCTATTGAATATTAAAGATGCAAACTGCCCTTGACATAAATTTAAAAATTACAATGTGGAAAATTTTATCTTCCTTCTATTCACAAAGAAAATTAATTCATCCACCTCCTTAAAATGAGTCTTTTTTGCCCAGTAGTTGACTGAAAGTTAAGTTGTCTCCAAAGTACCTGCTGGGTGTCCTCTGAGAGGCTCACATGAGCCTCTCCATGGAAGGACGGACATCTGGGCAGACAGCAGCCCCCTGGGCCATTCTGATCAGTTGTCCGAGTTATCCCTCTCATCAAATCCTGTCTCTAGTTTCCCCACCTCCCTCTGCTACCCCCATTTTCTTCCTTCCTCAAGTCAGGTTGGAGACATTAGCATCTAGTTCCCATACAGATCACTCTCTTTCCCTGCCCTGGGGTAACTAGATTGTCTAAGTTAATGTAGAGAAACAAACCCTGATCGAAAGGAGATGCTAGGTTCAAGTGGCCAGTGTGCGGGCTGGTGATTAGCTGTCAGACTAGACAGCCTGTATCTGCAGTTCTCCGGGGAGGGGGCCAGTGAAGAGAGGTGGGAAGGGAGAAGGTACATGCTGATGAGATTCCAAGATGAAAAGCACTTGATTATATTGATGTCTTCAGACTGTATTTTGTAATTGCATCTGTGCTCTTCTAAGTATTCGGTATCGACTGCTCTTTATTATGACCTTCGCTTTGCTCTCTTCCTCCACACTCCTCTCCCCTGTCCCCTTAAACCACCATCACCAATACAAACACACACACACACACACACACACACACACACATCTGGAGTCTAAAATCTTCAAGTCTAAAAATCCTTGGCCAATATTTTTGAAACTTTCAGCCCTCAAGAGTAGACATCATAGCAGAAAACTAGGGACCCATTGCCACCGTTAATTTACATTTTAAGACTTTACTCCTTTAAGATTCTTAAATCACTTAAGGAAATGAGCCAAATAATTTTCCAGCCCCACTTTTGAGCACTTGAGCTTTGGCTGAGGTACAATTCATAAAAGAAATGTGTTCTTCACTTTCACTGTCGTTGGCTCCGTGGTGCCGGCAGAACAACCCAGAATCATTGCCGTCAGCATCTCGGGCACAGCCAAGGCGGTCAAGGTGCAGCTGAGTGGTGTAGCCGGTATGTCTAGCCACGCACTAGACAGGGTCAGACGATGGGGAAGAGGGGTCTTGCTGTCCATCTATCTGTTCCCAGAGTCCCGGGGCTTTTACCCCAAGTGGGTCCCTCTCCTGGGGGGCAGGGGGAGGGAGCGCTCCTCACTAACACAGTATGTGATGTTTTCCGGTGGGTGCTGAAATATGCTATTTGTCTACTGTTGCCAAGGTCTTCTTAACTTTTCAGATATGAGTGAAGAACGAAGAACAGATACATCTTTTGTAGCTAGTGATAAGAATGAAAAGCCTTTTATGCAAGAAATTTAAATGTCTGTAGCTATTTAACCTTACCTCACCTTTTATTTTTCTTCTGAAATTAGAGTTATGTTGAATGCTCATCTTTGGTTATCCTCTGAAACAACCACAAGCATTTGTCCGGCCCCAATAATGCCAAACACAATACAATTACATCATTTTATAATTGCAAAGGATAGTGTTTGCTCAGCCATCTGTGTGGCGGTCCAGAGCACCCCAACTCTAGGGACAGGAGGTTAGTGAACAGTTGCCAAGGACTGAGGGGTTGGGGGGGTGGGGAGGCG